AAGTACCCCTCCTGCTTCGAGCTCTTCACCGGCGAAGGCCCGGCCGGGAGCGGCGGTGAGCTCTGCTTCGGCTTCACCAAGCGGATGGCGGAGCTCGTCGACGCCGAGGAGGCCGCCGTCACCGCGTCCGAGCCGGCCATGGCCGACCGCCTCGCGCGCGTGCTCATGCTCGCCCGCGGGCGCCGCCTCCCGGTCTCCAAGCTCGCCGCGCTGCGCGGCCCGCTCGGCCTCCCAGACGACTACCTCCTCCGCATCCTCCCCGCCCACACCGACCTCTTCCGCCTCGCCAACCCGTACCCTCACCGCCGCAATGCCGTAGAGCTGGAGCTGCTCCGATGGGTCCCTTCCCGCGCGGTCTCTGCTGTTGAGGCCGCTGCCTCGGCGAGCAACTCCCTCCCGCGGTTCACCTGCTCGTTGCCGTCCTCTTGGGCCAAGTCCCACGACAAGATGGAGGACTTCAACTCCACACCCTACATTTCGCCCTACTCGGAGGACGGGGCGGTGCCTGGCACAGACTCAGAGGCTGAGAAGCGTGCGGTGGCTGTGGTTCACGAGCTTCTTTCGCTCACCTTGTGGAAGAAGATTTCGGTTATGAAGCTAGAGCACTTCAGATGGGAGTTTGGGTTGCCAGAAGACACAGCTAGGATGCTGCTCCGGCATTCTTGCCTCTTCTATGTGTCGAATCGGTACAAGATTCACACTGCGGTGCTCCGTGAGGGTTATGAGGGGTCTGAGCTGAGGGTGAAGGATCCAGTGGTGGCAGCAAAGGATAGACTCGGGGAACTGATGCAGGAGGGTCTGCACGAATTTAATCAGCGGCGACGTGCTGTGAATTTGGAGAAGAAGAGGAGGAAAGGTGAAGTTGATGTGAAGAAGGAAGAAGAGGAGCTCGAAGATGAGGCAGGGGCACTGTTGGATAGTGCGGAGAAGAGGGAGGAAAGACGGAGGTTTTACAAGGTGTTGTTTGGTGATGATAACCGGTGATTGGTGTATGTAAGCCTGATGCCCCTCTAGACTAATTGTTGAACGGATGATGATATCTTGTGATAAACTACAGCAATAAGAGTGACATTGCTATGAAGGGATGACACATCTATCTGCAAATGGAAATTGTTTGGGTTGTTGTCTCGCTTGCTGGTCAAAGAGAATTGATTCCCAACTTGCTAGTTTTTCTTCTCAGGAAATGTAATCGGAGAACTGCAGGAATACCGGCCAGCCAGGCAGTTTGATCTTTTTGTAGATTATAGCATGCCCCTTCAGGATAAAAGCAATCGCATATGGATTCTCCTAAATGAATAAATGGTGGAATTCTGGTGTAAAAGGGGTCCTTATCAAGGAAACCAAACATATGGATGCAATCAATGTGTGTGAGAAAGATCGACAGATCTGCAGAACTTGCAAGTGAAATGCCAATGCAAACTGGTCTTATATTGTCAGAGAGAACAGAAATCATGAGCAGCAAATGCTGCATGCAAGCATGTGCAATTGAGTATCTACAAAAGAGAGCACTGCGATTTTGGTGGATATTTGAGCACAGTTGGAGTTGTAGCCTTCTGCCGGAATATGTTTTGTATAGCAAATATGATCATCCCCAGAAATGGAACTTTGATGAGAATGATTTTAGGTACACACCTTTTTCCCAGTTTTTTTAGGAAAATGTTTTGTTATAGTTGATCTTCCGTGTGTTGGCATTTCAGTTATGAGGTTTTATAGATAGCAATCTTAAAAAAATTCATTCATGTCCTGTCTAGTCATTTTTATCACAAAATTCTTTAGTTAATCATTTAAATTCTACTGGGATGATGCCTTGTCCTTACGTAAGCACTTATTTGCTTATGCCAGTTTGGCACTGAGTGGTGGATTACTGGACTAATGACTCATTGCATTTTGAAATGAGTGGTATATTTCTATGTAACAGTCCATGGGCCTGTATAACCAATTAACAGCTTGCTCAACGAGTAGCAAGTTATATGCTATATGTTGCCTGCTGATGTTGGGGTATAAGTAAAAGTAAGAAAATTAAACCTAAACAGAAGGATACATAAAAGGAGCTTTAACAACTTGATAACCAAATGTGGCAAGGATATAAGCCTGCCTTTATGTTTGAAGAACATAGGGAAATGGGGATCAATGGAAAGCTATTGAAGAGAAGTGTCAACCATCACAAGCACCAAATTCTGGATTTATTCATGGTCTAAAAGCACATCCATCCCTTGTTTTTCTGGTGCTGCCATGCCTTCCGTTATCTTGTTGCTACCTTCCCATCCTGCAAATGTGATGAAGATCACAGTTTAGTATTTTTAGTCATTAAAGCTTGTGTTGTGAACAGGCATGTTTTGTTTTATATTTTGTTTCAGCAAGGAGAGATACCTTTGGACATGTTGAAGCCACGATTTTCCAGCTGCTTGTACTCTTGGCATAATGCGCAACTCTCACAGCACATGTGAACAAAGCAGTCCATGCAGGGTGACCCTTGGAAGTTGTACTGTGCCCGCATTGAGGAGCGTTTGGTACAAGAATACAACCAGTTGCAGCCTATGGATCCTAGCAAAACATACAGGGTCCCATGCATGCAGCATGCTGGAAACAAGGGGAGGTAGCCAACAAGATGTATGTTTTTATGTTTGATCCCAAGCGCAAATTGTAATTGAAGCACATACATCCTGAGCCTCTGTCCACAACCTCAGCAATGCGACCAAATGTAATGCAGGGGCACCAACAAGTCAAGCAACCTGCAGCATTAGCCACAAAAAATGAAGCATCAGGATGTAAGTGAAATGCACTCTTTTAGACCCCCCAATGTATAAGGCAAAAGGACTTGTGAGAAGAGCATGAAAGATAGTTCTCCATACAGGTGCCGCAATCTCCAAAGCAGTCACAAAGCCCAACCGACCACTTCCCTGACATGCTGCTGATTTCTTGTGGTTGTGATCTGTGGAATATGGAAATAGATGGTGTGTAGCTGTGCCTTTGTGAGCAAGAATACCTTGATCCTGTTGGTATTTATAAACTAGCAACAACATGGTATCAGTGCCCATTTGCACAAGTATCTGCTCATAGTAGATTCCAGTGCATCATTTTTGTTGTCTCATGGGCTTTCTGTTTTCTTCTTGCACTTTAATGTTGTATGTTGTGTTTACAGGTTTTGCTGTAAATTAGCGTTTTTAGTCACATCATGTTCATTTGGCTTGTTCTGTTTGATTGCTCCTTCGGGAAATCTTATGCTCAGTTAGCATCTGGCAGCTATTTGGAGCTTCCAGTTTTGGTTGTAGCATAGACCCCTTTTGTTCTTTTCATCATTCATTGCTTGGCAAGTAATAGCTGCTATGATGATTGGAATTTGTGGGCTGACGATGATAACAATTTGAGGTCCTCACACGATGATTGGAATCCAGTCTCACTATGTTTTCAGTTTCATTAGTCATGCAACACCTGATTGAAGCTATGGAAAATGTCACTGCAGTCCTCTTTCTGAGGCTTTTCCATGTAAATTCGAGTTGGATAAGATCTTCTGCTTCCGAGATTTCCTTGATGGAGCTCATACTGTACCCTTAATAAAAGCCCCAAATTTCGGTTGCTGTTTTCGAGTTTCTTAATCGCCTCCAGTTCTGTGCTCGCTTTGGGCTTTGTCCATTTCTATTTGGGGGGCATTATCTGGCTCTGCTATCTGTACTGTACAAATTATATAACCTACAGATAGCTAAGATATTGACCAATTTGCGCAGTTATGTGGAGATCATTTGTCATACACTGTGAAGTACGGTTGTTGGTGTGCCAGGGTTTGCTCTTGCAAGTCTTGAGCTAAAGAATTTGCTGATCTGTCCCAAACTGATTGGCTACAGGACAGGCTATGGCGAAGTCAATGTACAAGGACTACATCATGCATGCATGACATTGACAATATGGTCCATATTCTGGTTTGATTTTTACCTTTTTGCCCTGTGGTTTTATCTTTCCTAGGACAATGTTTCGTGTGGCTGAACTATCTCTTGTGAATTTTTGCCATCTCGACTATGAGCTTCTGCAGATGTCAGAACCTTTTCAACCTTTCTTGCTTGTTCTGTAGCCTTTTTTAACATAATTTTTTCTTCAATCATCTTAAGCATACAAGATATCCAATCTTCAAGTATTATATTTCATATCCAGTTCGGCACTCAGTACCTAGTCAAGAGATTCATAGCTTTACAAATTGAGCAGTACATTTTAGTTCATATGCCACTAAACTTCAGTATGGTACTTGAACTAAAATGTACTAAAATGTACATAGCTTCAGTTTTGCCCTGTGGTTTATAGATTCATATGAAGTTTTGCCCTGTGGTATATAGATTCATAGCTTTACAAATTGAGTAAATTGAGCAGTACATTTTAGTTCATAGATTCATAACTTCAGTACATAGCTTCAGTTTTGCCCTGTGGTTTATATCTTTCTTAGGACAACGTTTCATGTTTCATGCGGCTGAACTACCTCTCGTGTGATTTTTTTTTGCCATCTCAATTATGAGCTTCTGTATATGTCCAACCTTTCTCGAAATTTCTTGCTTGTTGTGTAGTTTTTTGTTACCATATTTTTTCTTCAATCATCTTAAGCATACAGGATGCCCCATCTTAGTATTTATTCCTCATGCCAGTTCGGCAGTCAGTATTGAGTCAAGAGTTTCATAGCTTTACAGTTTGAACACTGCATTTTAGTTCACAGGCCACTAACTTTGTACAATCTACAACCATATAATGCTTGTCAAGTGACAGATCACATAATGTATGTTGCCTGCTGTGTTAGACAGATCACATAATGTATGTTGCCTGCTGTGTTAGGACATAAATGGAAGTACGAAAACTGAATCAAAACCACAAGGACTGATAAAAGGAGATTTAACAACTTGATTGCAAAAATGGAGCAAGTCACTAGACCTGCCTTTATTTCCCCTTTGGATATTGTAGAACATCATGAAATGAAAATTAACAGAACAGGAGAGCTAAGAGCATCATTTTATGGACATGTTCTAGAAACACATCCCTTGCTTCCCAGGTGCTTTCATGCCTTGCACACATCCCACCATCTTGACCTTCCCATCCTGCAAATTTAATGATTTAGTCATCATTACTTTGCCTTTGTGAAACACATGAATTTTCTTGACTATGCATTCTTTCAGTAAGACGCAGCGACCTTTGGCCATGTTGAAGCCACGGTTTTCCAGCTCCTTGTACTCTTGGCATAGCGCGCAACTCTCACAGAAGAAGTGGACACAGCAGTCCATGCAGGGCGATGCTGTCAAGTTGTATTGCGACCGCATCGCCGAGCGTTTGGTACAAGAATACAACCAGTTGCAGCCTACGCAAGCCAGGCAAACATACAGGGTCCCATTCATGCAGCATGCTGAAAACAAGGAGACTCAGCCACAAAGATGGATGATCTTTATGCTTCAACCTAAGCACGAATTCTAAGCGAAACACCTACATGGGGAGCCTTTGTCCACAATCCCTGCAAGACGACCAAAGGTAACACAGGGGCACCAGAAAGTCAAGCAACCTGCAATGTTTGGAAATGGAATGGAACACAGATGAGTACTTTGCAAGTTTGCATGCTGCTTATGAAACCCATGTACAAGGGGTGCAAGAAGAACAGAACAAAAGCTAGGTCTGCATACAGGTGCGGAAATCCCCAAAGCAGTCGAAAAGCCCAACTGACCACTCAGCAACCATGGTGCTAGTAAGTTTGGTAGATTGTGGATCTGTGATCGTTGAGTATGGGAATAGCAGCGGTGTGCAGCTGTGCCCTTGTGAGCTTTGATGCTACCGATGCTTATATACTAGCAGTAACAGTGCAGTATCAGGTATGACAAAGTCAATTGCTTCAGCAACCAATTCCAGTGCAGCGTTTTTGTTTTTGTTTTATGGGTTTTCTCTTGCAATCTGCACCGAATATTGTGCGCTAGTGCCGTGTTTACTGGTTTTGCTTTGAATTGGTCTTCTCAAGGAAACCGTGTTCAATTGGCATGTTCTGCTTTGGACCAATCTTTCTGGAAATCCCATGCCCAATCAGCATATGGCAGCATTCTGGAGCTTCTAGTCTGGTGGTAACTTTCATGCCTTATCGTCGTTTTCCTATGTATGAAATCGGCTTGATAGCAAGTAATATACTAATGATAATCACCATGTAACTCTCCGTTTAGAGTAGGGGAACCATGCCTGGTGACAAGCTAACCAAACACTTGCCAGTTAACATAACGTATACATATGGTTTCTGCACAAAGGTGTGTCCTGCTTGAACTTTCTGGTTACGGCCATGGTTTCGTTTTTCGTATCGCCAACTAGAGCTAGAGTATTCCCTATTGGGGATGATGTTCATGTGTTTCTTTTTATCTTCTACTGATAGGCTACCATCTGCTTGTTGAAGCTGAAAGTTCTGTAACAGTTGAAACAAATTTGGTAGAAACTGAATATTCAGAGTAGCAACCAGTCAGGTAACGTCTCCTGGCAACCTAAAGAATATCGACATACGGAATGTTTAACACTGTTCTGGGGGCTGCAGTCAGCGAGTTTTTCTTTGGAACTGTAGTGAGTGTCTTTTGGTTGCTTATTACATGACGGTTGTCTCGGATAAGGTTTCTGGTTTAGAGGGGAAACAGTTTGTTTCGGATAGGTTGTGTTCAGCTGCAGCAAAACATCAGGCCACGCTCGCTCTATTGCAAATACCTCTCGGGCCTGGCCCAAGTATTCGGTCAGTTCC